TGACGGCCATGGCCGTCGTAGCCCCTCGGTCTGGCCGTTATGCCCCACAAATAATTGTACGTCCTACGGACACCATGGCCTTTGGGCCCCTCACACTAGGGATGCACCGAATATTTGGCCACCGAAAATTATCGGCCGAAAATGGTTAAAAAGGCCCTTTCGGCCGAAAGGGTTTTAGCACCGAAAAAATATCACCGAATGTCAGAACAGGCTTACGTTGGTAACCTAAGGTGTTGTTGTGATGACGTAATAAAGACGCGGCGACCATGCTCGCGGCTGGCTCACAGGGGGGGGGGGACATTGACCTTTGTCATCGAGATTGCCCTGAGCCTTTAACAAATCGTATTAAATAATCTGATGACAGACTGTAAACAGAATAGCTGAAATTTTAACAAACTAAATAACTCAGTTTCCTCTAATCATTAACCCATGTTTGTATCATGGTGTTAACTCCGTGTGTTGCTGCTAGCATACATAACACCTGACGTGGAAACGTTACTCGTGGATGGGGCTACAGAGCTGCTAGAAAGACGGTCGAACCCGGTACATTCCTCCGTCTGCATGCGGTGCACTTTTGCTAAATGTTTAGACAAATTGCTCGTGCTTACATGCTAAACTCTTATTGCACTTATGGTAACAAGTATTCTCCACATCGAGACGGGTAAAGTGTAACCACACCTCGGAGCGCGTTCTCTCCGCCATCTCCGCAGTGTGCTCCGCTGCATGTAGCAGCTGCGTGTGTGTAAACTGCCCCGCCCCCTCGCACACAGACGGGGGAGAGAGATCTCGTCTGATCGAAAATACATCATAGACGCATTTGTTGTCTTTGCATATTAGAAACGAGTTGGCGACACTAAGACTGCGATATCATGTTTTTTAGCAATAATACATGACATATATAAATGTACTGTATGCATTCAAAAGTGCTGAATAAATGTTTTATGGACCCATAATAGTGATTATTATTTAAGTTAAGTTTTGCCATAATCATGTCTATTTCCATAATCAGGTAGCTGAACAACATTGGTAAAAAATGTATACATTATATATATATATATATATATTTCTATTAATCATTTTCGGCCTTTCGGCATTCGGCCAACTGTTTCCTATTTTCGGTATCGGTTTCGGCCAAGAATTTCCCATTCGGTGCACCCCTACCTCACACTGTTAAAAGTTGCTTTAAAAGCGTCAGAACAGGTTTCTGAACTGCATTATGCTGCTTTCACAACGGACACAATGCGAATATTCTCATCACTCTAACAGCTGGAGTTTCACTGAGGCTGTCAGCTGTGTTTACTCCTGTCATTCAAACATGATGCACTGGAGAGGGGGCAGGGGCTTATATCCATGTAAATACTGTGGTGGAAACCAACTACGACCAAATTAACCTATGTTAACCTGATTTAATTGTAATACACGTAATACTGATAACGGTTTGTAAAAACCATGCTTTAATGCTTTGACAAGACGGCATGCAAAATCTTTTAAAATGCGCGTTTTGTGAATGGAGATTGGATCGATCAGGCTAAACTAACGTTGTAGCTGCTCCGTCCAAACTCACAACAACGTCCTAAAGACAGAATTAAAGCAGCGACTGTATTCGTCATGACAGAGACAGTCTGTGGTTTGTACTTGTTTAACTTTTGTCTAGTTTCTGAACAGATATGAGGAGCTGTGAGGAGTCACACACACACACACACACACACACAGTTATTGATATAATTATAGTAAATAATATATTATTAACCAATTTATTGAAAACAATTTATTGACAACAATTCTTGAATTAGGCTATTTATTTATTTATTTACATATTTAACATTTTGGCTTCAGAATGAAGGTGGATGTTCATGCTGCCATTAAACGTGCAATTTTTGAAACAACTCATGAACTCCATGCCAGACTTTTGTGCAGTTGGTGCTGTGGTGTTCACGGAAGAGCTTTCCTCCAGTGGCCGTTTGGCGTGTCCCGGACCGGCAAAAAGCGCGTTGCTCCACATTTGTCTGTTGTCCAGATGATAACTATAAAATCTGACATTTTGTAGCTAACGATTTTCCAACGAGAGACAATGTAACGGCTGTGTGTCGCTATGGAAACCACTACTTCTCCGCTGCTTTCTTGTTCCAGTTAGCTTTTGAATTGTGGTACTTTTCCAGTTGGTCTACCTGCTCTTCACGGAGCTCTGCATGTTGTCGTGTAGGTGCTTTTTTTTCGAGGCACTGCTCAATCCAGTCCTCCACAGTAAGACCCCCCCCCCGGAGGTTGAAGTTAATCTTAAATGTTTCCATATTATGTTTGGAAGTTTGTTTCGTAACGTAAAAAGGAGGGTTTCTGCCCCGTTACTTCTCCGCTGCTTTCTTGTTCCAGTTCAGGCCAAGGGTATACAGTTTTTCTCAGACGCGGAGGGATACTGACTTGTTGTGAAAAGGCACGTTCTATTTGACCGATCGTGGAATCAAACACGCCTATTGACCAATCAGAGAGCTTGCTCACACCTATGTGTTATAGATTCCACGATCAAACAACGATCAAATAGAACGTGCCTTTTCACAACAAGTCAGTATCCCTCCGCGTCTGAGAAAAACAGTATACCGTTGGGCCGCAAACTGGAACAAGAAAGCAGCGCAGAAGTAACGGGCAGAAACCCTCCTTTTCACGCAGCGGTCCAGACATAGACATCAAACGGCAAAACATATTCAGTGTGCAGTTCCTTTGGCATTAGGGCAGGGATATCTAGATACTTTCCAAGGTTTGACATAATTAATTGTGCTACTTTTAAAGCAAGCAACGATGTTTTCAAATCTGTAATCAAAGAGGTCCGTAAAAACACTATCGACCAATCAGATTGCTTGATTTGACTTGTCAGTTTTATAAATATATTTAAATTTCTTCCGTTACGAAACAAACTTACAAAGCATAAGATGGAAACATTTAAGATTAACTTCGACCTCCGGGGGGGTCTCACTATGGAGGAGTGGATTGAGCAGTACCTATCTCCAGAAAGAAAAAAAGCACCTAAACGACGACATGCAGAGCTACGTGAAGAGCAGGCAGACCAACTGGAGAAGTGCCACCATTCAAAAGCTTTCTGATGGGGTCTTGAAACAAAGCAGAGACATGATGACCGTTAGTGGCCACAGGTACGAAAGCTCTCTCCAGAGCTGCTGGAAGCCCAATCTCGGGGACCGGAGAAAGTGCGATAATATATTATGTACTATAATTATATTATATCAATAACTGTAAGCGGGGTAGCAGGAGTGTTTGATCGGCTATCGTTACCATAGGAACTACTTTCTAGGAACTACTTTCTGACGGAGATTAACTCAAGCAGAAAGCGTAGGTTTGGGAGCAAATTAGACCACATTATGAAATTATTTTACGATATTGTTGATTACAATGATAGTTTGTGTAATAGAATCGCAATCATACACTTGAGGCCGTTCTTGAACGTCATTATTGGTACGACAGTACTGCGGCAGGACCGAGGCGCGTACGCCTGTACTCTCGTGTATGATTGCTTAAATAAAGGACTGGCTTATCTAAAGCCAGTTGAGTAGCACTTGAAATGTTTGGCTCTATGAAACCTGATGTACTTATATGATTCTGTTTTCTTCAAGTTTGTATCTTCCTGGTCGAATGTACTTATTGTAAGTCGCTTTGGATAAAAGAGTCAGCTAAATGCAATGTAATGTAATGCTTCATTTTTATTATATCTTATTGCATCTTTTAAATATGTTTAACTGTAATGCCTGAAAACACTTCTGCTGTGACACAATCATTTCCCAGTTTAAGATAAATCATTATTTAAATAAAGTTTATCTAATGAGCTAAAGTTAAACCGTCGCTTAGCGTTAGCTGCTAACTGAAGAACCCCATTCATTTCAATGGGAAAAATGCTACGTCGTGGTGAATGGCGATGCTAATTAGCTAGTTAGCATATATTTAAAACCATATCTATGGTAAAGAGCACCAACACAACAACTCAAACAGTCTTAAAGACAACTGGTGTAATAAATAACTAACATAAAGTCAGCTGAGCATTACAAATCAACTGTTACTCACCCAGAGCCGAACTGGAATTATAACTGTAGCGGCACCATAGAGAGCGGCACACAGTAGTGATGGCAGTTTGACACTGAAGCTTCGAACGGAGCTGCCTTCAACCCTGGGCTTGGGCTCTGTGCACAAGATGGCGTCTATCAACTTCCGGCGGCTGGGTGTGCGGCTGAGTACTTCCGGTTTGAGTACAGAGTTTTGACAGCGTGACAGTATGACAGTTTCTTATGTCACACCGAGAGCAAGAACGAGTGGATTTCGGGGTAAAGAAAAGCGATTGGCCTTCCAGCGTGTAAGAAAGTCGGCACTACATTGCTGTGTGCCCCTTTGGACAAATTCGTCCCGTTATCACAATCAGAATACCTTTAGTCCCACAGAGGGGAAATGTGCAGCGTTGCAGCAGGAAAGAGCCACAGACAGCTTAGTGTTGAATATCTTACATGCGTTAAAAAGTACTAAGTTATAATATAATAAACAATATGCTAAAAAATTTTTTTTAAAAGTTACATAATTTTCAAAAATACAGATCAAAAACAAATCAAATCTACAAATTAAATCCTGTAGCAGTTCTTAGGATTTAGCAGCCCGGTATATATATTACAGTTATTAAAGATGGCATATGTATATAAAGTATATATTGCACATAAAGCACATATTGCACATAGTTTGACGGTATTTAACAGCAGCAAGTTACACAATGTTATAATCGGGAGATAAGTTTCCATTCATTTCGGCAAGCCTGGGCAACAACGATTAAAAGATTTCTTGCTCTCAAACCAATTGTGTATTTCATTACAAAAAGCAGTTATACCATACTATGTTTGGGTACTAATGAATTATATCCTCAAAACAAACGCACACATAAATAACAAAGGAAAATACATAATTTAATAAATCCACAATATGATAACATTTTACAGATTCATTTAATAAACTTTTACAAAACATAGGTTGATGTTATATCGGGGGGGGAAAATACATATTTAAACATTTCAATTAGTCTCTGCATATTTAAGTAATGCTAGTTTATATAACAGATGAACAGATGTACAATATCCAGAAAGTAGATGCAAAAAAGATATATAATGTGTGCATTTCCAACATATCCTCTGAAAGAGTGTTAGTCGTTGAGTTGAGTAGTGATTCATTCGTTCTTTTTTCGTGGTGCGATGTCTGCTGAGAAGTCCTTGTATGCCTCGCTGACTTTGAGGACATCTGGGTCTGGCAGCTCCCCCCGCACGGCCTTGTAACGTGTACTCCTTTGAACATGTTTATATGATAATTAGGACTTTAAGAACAATTTTGCACTCAGACAACAATCACAAAGTTGTAGCAGGCTACATACAATTACTTAGGACAATATAGATTACCTTACACCATCAGCAACTGTAAACTGCTTTGGCTTAGTGGAAGTGAACACCATGTCACTCACTCTGCCTGGTTTCACACCCTATTAATTACACAAAATAATTGTCAAATTAATTGAAAAGGTCGTTGATGCAACATACTAGATCAGCTCTTGGCACAAAGGAAATACTCATTAAACCGTGGATTGGTTGTGAACACATACTGTACCATGGTTCTTGGCTTGTGCCTTCGCTGCTCTGTTTCAGTGCAGCTGAGGACAGGGGGGACAGCAGCCAGGTTGAGTGTGGAGTAGTGTGCGGTCTGGAACAGCAGTGCAACATTGTGGTTGCAGAGTGCTGTTCCAGCTACACAGGAACACTTTGCCACTGCAATCTCCACAGGTGAACAGTTCTTAAAACAAAATGTCAGTCATTTTACATTTAGGACACTGCTTCAATACAACACAGACAAATGAGAAAGCTGAGAGCAGGCTGATCAGGTAGTAGGTGTGGGAAAAGGCTAAACCATGTCAGGTTGTCAGTCACATCACATACACAGAAGTTCTGCTGTTTGGAATACTGTAATTTAAGGATATTCAAACAGATACGCTTGTATAGCCTGTCTCAGCTCTCTCAATGTATTATCTTATAACATAAAATAGTGTTAGTAGAACATTGAACAGCTTAACATAGATGTAGGGTACAAAACCAGCACTTACACTGGCCAATACAAATAATTGGACCCTACATGGATTATACTAACCATTCAGTAAAGAACAGCAGCCGTCACAACCAGTTTCTGGGGTTTCCATGAATTCCATTTTCAACCTCTCATTAAGAATCTTTGATGAAAGCTAAGTTTGGGTTTAGCTAATGTATTTATCATTTTACAGGAGAGGGTTACAAAACGAAAATAAATCTGTAGCCCCTTCATGCTACACACACATAGCTAGCTACCAGTTGATGTGAGCACATATTGTCACTATGTAATCTGTTGCAACCATAGTTGCAACACGTCAGCTAGCTGGGCTTATTTGAATCCTAAATCACAGGTTACCTACTCTTGCCACATCAAAACCCCAGAGCATGAACCTGATTGAGGCTTTGAACCGATTAACACTTTTTATTTTCCTCCCTAGACACATTGATATGCACACATTTACAAAGACACACATGAGAAATAAATACGTTTCTTTTTACAAAAACAGTGATATTTAATGTTTTCTTCTTAAAATCCATTGACATCTAACATGCAGTTGAGTCTTTTAAAAATCTAAACAACTTGTTGAAACATTTACAATCATGTGCAAAAGTAAACACATGTTCTCCCCGCTGGTGTCTCATCAGCAGCAGCACTATTACGCATGACGCGCAAAACTGGGCAAATGGCGGATCAACGAGCATCAGAAAAAAGGACTTCCAGTAGAATATGGCACTATTTTCATGATTCGTAAAAGTGCCAAACATGACGTACGTATCTTTTATAATGTGCTATAACTTATTTTTTTAATAAACATGAAGTTGTTCTCGTTTGTTCGTTTTCTTCTTAAAATCTATTGACATCTAACATCTGGGGTTACGTACTGTAACCCAGTTTCTATGAGTATAGGCGCAGCCCTCTAAGGCTATCGCTATTGGGTAATCCCACTGCACGTGTGCAGCACTGACAGACTTAATCCACACCCACCTATGGGCCCCACCTACGGACTCACTTCCGTATAAATAGGAAGTAGTCCCTACAACCTGCTCCCACACAAACAGCTTTTCTTCAGCTATTCGCGGAGTCAGTGGGGCCCGAACCTTAGAGGGCTGCGCCTATACTCATAGAAGCTGGGTTACAGTACGTAACCCCAGTTCTATATCGTATAAGGCTTCGCCCTCTAAGGCTATCACTATTGGGTTAAGGGCGCCCCACTGGTCCGTCCGTTACCAGAAGCACAGAAACACACCTACTCAATTAATAACCCATGTCCATTTCGCCATGCGTAAATGGAGCATCACATTCCCAGGGAATATAGCATTTAAAAAATGAATATTCTCCATACGGAAAAGAAGGTAGGCTAAATAGGCTACCTGTAAAAAGTAGAGACCAAAGTCCCACTTGTTAAAACGATCAAAGAGGGGGAAAAGGGCAGCTCTCTAAGTGCCGACAGGCAGGAGAGAGGGCACGCAGTTGAGTCCCCGACATTACTCACTCTGACAGGACCCTCAGTACTGAGTGTGTCAAAGAGGAATGGGAGACATCCCTCAAATAAACACGAATAAAAGAACAGGGGGAAGACCAAGATGCAGCATGTCGCGGTTTAGGAGAAGGCTCGTAAACCGGACATTGAGGCGCGTTCACGCTCAAACCCGCTTGAGGAATGAACGGTGTGGGAGGCATATCTGTGACATTCTTTCACACACAGTGACGTCACAGCTACCCACAATGCAACGCGCGCCATATATTTTTTTATAAAGACGCCATTTTTCTGGAGGTGCAAACATCCTGGCAATGCTAATATAAACAGCTAGTTTATGTAGCCAGGCAGAGCGCACTAGGTTTTTTTTCTGAATTAACGACCGAAGAAATCGCTGCATGTCTTCGGATTACATCTTGAGGGGTGTGCTCTAGGTCGTTACCAGCGTAAACTAGAGCTGTGTGGGTTGTTGGATGTACAATGTATGGAATTACGACCCTCAAAAGTGGCCTTCGGTCGATGTTGGCTGCATATACGTCTATCTTCTGGGAACACCAGGTGAATACCCCACTTGTCACAATAATATTATCATGCCAATGCATATATGTGGTATTTTAGAGTTGACTATATTGATTAAGGCAATCGACTATGATATTCTGTATGCACCTCGCGTGAAATGGTTGATACCGGAAGTACGGTGTCGCCCTCGGCCCAAAACCCGTATGTGTGTGTGAAAGAATAGCAGGTTCAAACCCCACTGCAGTCAGCATGTCCTTGTGTCCCTGAGACACTTCACCCCAAATTGCCCACAGTATTGAGTATGTAAGTCGCTTTGGATAAAAGCGTCTAACAAGTAACATGTAATGTATTTCCTGTTCACCTGTGACCAGTGGTGTAGTGGGGATTTTTTAACTGGGGGGACGCTATTTTAATTAGGTCATCCCAAACAATGCCACACAAGTGCGCATGCGCGCAGTGCACTCACAAAACGGGCAGACAGGTCCACAGAAACTACCGGTATGCTTAGTCCTACTTTAGTTACTGTTCTGCAAAAAGCAGATGGCGCTGCGCTCAACACACCACACACTC